ACTAAAACAATTATTCCTCTCGCCCTCATGGCCTCTGAGTCAGTAGCCACTCAGAGCCCATTTGGGCTCGAGGAATAATTATTAAATATCGGTCGTTTTTTTTTTTCTCTCTGGTATCGCTTCTGAACAGGCTTTTAGTTTTCAAAAAATTTATTTTGCACTTTGTTACTGCGATTCGCAAGTCTCTTTTAGAGCTTGGCGATAGCTACTACTAAAAATAAGGCAGATAATCGGGTTGATAGCACAGTTTGCCAAAGCCATAGACAAGGTGATACGATCGTACAGATAAAAACTACAAGAAGACCAAATGGAACTTTCTGGTGCACTAAAAATGATTATCATCCCCTTACTGGACAATGGTATCCAGCAAATGAAAAACACTACATTAATAGCAATAGCCATCTTCAGTACGTTTCTGATTCTTTTTGTCCGCTGTTCCTCAGCGTTGGCTGATGCCTCACCTGGATGGGCTTGTCTTTTAAGCTTGATCAGGATGACGGAGTAAAGTATCGCCAACAAGACAAAGGGCGTGTAGAAAAACACGATAGCAACTACTAAGACAAAATTTCTATTGGCGTTTGCTCCGAAGTTTTCTCTCCAGTGACTTGTGCACCGCATTCCTCCAGGGTATTCAACAAGTTTAGAAACAGCAAGATATGACGAATGAACGGCCATTGCGATTATCCACGTAGCGACAATGAAGAATGGACACTGCTTGCTAGTTATGAGGGGGTAATGAAGTGGAACTACAACAGCTCCAAATCGATCCACTGTTATCAGAACCAGACTCCGAACAGATACTAACGAGGAAATGTATGTACCGAGCAGGTCGGATATGGCCATATTTGCGATCAACATATTTATCGGTTTTCTTAAAGTTGGTGTTTTGTAAACAACTAAGACGATGAGAAAATGTCCAACCAACGAAACAACAAGGATAAAACTATAAGAAACTGTTAGTCCAATTTTTAGTGCTTCTGGATTTATCAGACTGGAGCAGCTCCAGAAACTTGATCCATTTACTGTTCTTTTCATGCTTACTGACTTCTCGACAATTGTGTTCTCTTGAGAATTGTTTCCACTGAAAAATATTTACTGTTCAAATAATGGTTTTATATATTGTATATGCTTCATATTGAACCATCGACAACACTTTGGCGTCACTGTATTTAATTGTAAGCAAATACTGCCACCTGCAGAGGTTTTACCTAATAACTTTGTATCCTGTTATTGATCAGCAAACTGAGGCAAATTATTATGTAAGTCAATTAAAGTTTTAGTATTCTTCTTTAACGACTGAGTGATCAAGGTACATATATATCAAAACGTTGAATAAATACTCCTAAGCGTCGATAAGTGTCGATAATAGACCTCTTTAGCTCGTATATTTTGTTTTTCCAATACACTTGGTCATGTGATAGCACTCAAGAGAGCAATAAGTTCTTTTCAAATTTCGTCTTATTCACCTGCATATGTACGCATCATTTATGAAAAAAAAAAAAAACAAAGAAACAAACAAAGGGTCTAGTTCTCCTAGGACCTCCACTAGGAAAACAAAACATACATGTTAAAGAGGCTTATTAAGCTGCATATTTACTGAATTTGCATTAAATGACTAAGTATGTCTTTGTAATGTTGCTGAGATATCATGTCAAAAAAACTCTTTTCGTTTTTTCTAATTATAGTCAGACAATAAACAAAAATGATTTCAACTACTTGAGGGTTAGGGCCCACCTGACCCTCCTGATGACGTAAGCATAGAATTGACGTAAAGCAGCAATATTGCGACATCGTCATGACATAGCCCGCTTAAGCTCCCTCAAATGTTACCTAAAATGAAGTTGGTACAAATATAATTTTGCATACTAGGCTGAGTGACAATGATTCTTTCAAAAAAAGAAGTCACTAATAATAATAAAAAAAAGAAAATTTATGTTTAATGAGTGTCTTTATATCTGTTTATGACACGGATACGGCTAAATTTTTTACACTAAAACATCCCCAAATCTGAATATTGGTGCAAGAATGAGTTGATCTACATGTATATCAGAGATTTTAAAGCATATATGTACTTTTTTTTCGGCAAGGATGAATTTCGAAGAATGAACAAACAACCGCAAATTGCACGCCATCATTAATCATAAGGCCACCCTGATTTAATTCAATCGGGAATTTTGAACCACACTAATAATCAAAAGCCGCAATAGCACAATGAAACATGTAAATTATTCAAGTAGTTTGATCCTTCTAAACTCATGTTCTTGATTTCTTAGCTGGCTTCGCGTTTGAAAAAGTGAATACTAGAAAACATACATACACCTCGCTTAAAGCTTTCTTTTTACAACATTACGACAACTGAGAGTTCTTAGTACCCTCCTAGTGACCACAGGGGATCGAAGTGGCACTACAAGAGCTCCAAATCGATCCACTGCTATCAGAACCAGGCTCTGAATCGATACTAACAAAGAACAATCTGCAAGAAAGTCATGTAGCTTGCATAAGGCTTGACCAAGGGTACCACCAATGAGCCACGAGCCAACGTTCATGTCTGCCAGTAGAACAGCTAGGGAACAGGAATGTTGGATGCAGCAGGTCGGACATGGCCATGTTTGGGATCAACATATTCATCGGTTTTCACAGGCCCCTTTCAGAAGTCGTGCTACTGCCGTGCCCAACTATATTGATCGAATTAAATTCGACTTTAGCACGGCAGTAGCGCGACGTTTGAAACCAAGTCGTGCTACTGCCGTGCCGAACTCAATTCATAAATCAGTATGAATACATTAGAATACATTTAAAAGTTCGCCAAATCGTTTCTTTATTTTGGTATTTTGTTTTCAGCAACAGCCGTTCTATTCGACTGAATTAAATTCGTCACCTGAATCCAAGAGGTGCTAGTTTCATGCTGCAGCAGCAGCTACAGTCGAGCCAGCTTAGCGCGGCAGTAGTGCGACGTTTGAAACAGGCCTTAAATTTTGGTGTTTTGTAAACAAGTAATATACGATGAGGAAATTTCCAATTAGTGAAACAGCAAGGATCAAAGTGCAACTGTTAGTCCAATTTTTCCTGCTTCTGGATTTATCGGACTGGATCAGCTCCTGTGAGGAACTTGATCAATTTACTGTTGTGTTCATGCTTACTGACTTCTCGACAGTTGTGTTATCTGGAGACATGCTTCCACTGAAAAACATCTACAGTTTAAATAATGGTTTAATGTACAGCTAAATCAAAAGAGGTTGGTTTGGTAATTGGACTTGCTGAATAATGCGTACTTGTTTTTTAAAATGTGTTGATTGAGTGAAGTTAAGCAACAAAAGCTGCAAAAAATTAAAAAATGTTGCTCAGAAATCTTTATGCAAAAGCATTATCCAACTGAAGTACGATTCGAACAACATAAAAGTTTGTAAAAGTTTAAAAATCGGTTGAAATCAGCCTGTTGAAACATCCATGGCAAAATCAACAACAATCATCGAAGACTAACTTTAGAGCGTTTAAAAACAAATGCGTTACAAGCTAATTCGTTCGACCGAATTGCTACAAAAGCGTGAATTTATTCCTCGAGAAACTCATAAACATTAAAGTAATACATGAACTGTTTAGATGGCAAAATTTCCTGAAATAAGTCTTTTCTTTTTTTTAAACTACATCTACACGACAGCTCTCTTGGCCGTCATGTAATTGCTGCGTCACGTAAAAGCTTAGAAATTCAAGCGTACTCTATTACAAAACCAAGAACCCTTTTGAAGCGAAAATTTGTATGAAAATTAGTTTTCAGGTGCTCTAATTAATGCATCGTGAAAGTAAAATCTCGCTAGGATCGATGGTTTTTTAGTTTGAATTTTAGTGACCTCATGTGCAAACCAACAATACCCTGGGGATTTCTTGATTGACACTCTCTCTACGTCATTTTTCACTTATTTGCATTATCACAATCGACAATTATCAATGAGCGCGTTTCTGTATGGTGTTTCATTTGAATTTTTGTCCGACACTCTTTTTCTCTTTACTTGCGTATTGAAGCTCTTTTATTGTCATATTTCAGTCAATTCTACGATCATTTAGAAACACTACTGTTAAATTTGCACAACTTTTTATCAACAAAAAAAAAGGAACCTGTTCTTTAAGCAGCTTGGTTTACAGCTTACCAAGATTTTTAGACGCAAGAGTAAACAAGATAATAATTATTGCTGCCCGCACAGGGCAGCTACCTATTTTTGTCTTGAAGGCGTCTGAGAGCTCCATTTGTGGGGAAGTTTGTTTAGAAGTTTGCAAGTTTGTTTCGCTGTTTTACCAGTTCCCAGTCCTCGCCGCGTAGCACCCAATCCAGCAAAGTGAAATGTTTAGACAGTAGTTAATGTTGCGTATGAGGTTGGCATGCATGAGGTTGAATTCGAGAGTCGGACGCGAGTGCGAGGGGCAGTTTGATATTTTCTGTAACTCAGCCGGTAAGTTACTCATTTGCATCTCATGTCAGTTGTTAAGTTAAGTATTTTTGAAAGGTAGCGAAAGTTTAAGTGAGGATTCGAGGGACAGACAATGTTCTTTCATTTTTCGCAGCACTGCCGTTCCATGAGCCCAACGAGTTATCAGCTGCGGATCGTTGTGGATCAGGAACACAATCGATAAAATCTTGTCACGAGGAGACAATGAGTTCAAAGCGTCCCTAAACAATAATCTCAGCAGAATCGTTTTTAGTGAATAACCGTCCTGTTGTAGTTTACTGCTTTTTCTATTAAACGAGGTCAATGGAGCAACGAGGCGAACAAGCTGAATTTTTACTATTGAGGCTACAATGATATGCCCCGGCAAAGAGGCAAATAAACCAAGCGATTTGCTTACCGAGGTTGCGCAAACGGAATTAAGGTTTTCCTGTTCATTTCAAATACTTATTTGTATTGATCTCATGAAGTAAAAGAATGAATTCAACAGAAACGAATGTGTACAATTCAGTGACAATTCACTAAATCGAAGATGCTTTCTGGAAGTTTTTTTTTAATGTGTCTTTTTTGTGTATTTGTCAATAACAATTCAAACCGTGAATTCAATTCAAAAAGAGGCTTTTTACTGGAAGTACCATCCCACGCAGGGATGTTTTCTCCGCGGGTAGCTAATCCGACTTAATCCCATTTAATACGTCGCGCTCCTCGAAAGTGCGAAAATTTTCTTGTCGTGTATTAGATTTCAGATACATTTTCTTAATCTTCATTTCGCGCCAGAATATATTAGTTTGCGCGCAAAGGGCTCCTAAAAAAATCACAAGGTTTGTCCCACTTCGAGTCCACCTTCTGGAGATACGCCGGCTTGGTAGCTGGAATACATTGCCGAGGCGAAGATCTGGCATTTTCTCCTTCTCGTCGTATTAATTTTCTTCACGACAAATGTTTTTATTTGTAGTGAGAATGCGGCGCATATCGGTGGATTCTACTTCATGCGGCTTGCTACTTCTAAAAGGAGAGTGCCGGATTTCATCGTTTTGTTCATGTTTATTAGTGTTGGTAAAAGTAAGGTAAATGAACCGACCACTGTAAGGTAAGAATTGAAGTTTTAAATTTGTTACTAGGCGAAAAATCGTGGAATTGGAATTCGTGACACTCGTGAGTATTACCTCTGTTACCTAATGTCATGCGATGACTCCTCGCTTTTTCGATGTGTTACACGGATACAAGCGATAAATTTCTTTCGCAAAGTGAAGTATAATTTACTTAACGAGACCATTTGACGAATATTTCTCGTTATATGCTTTATTCATATTTGCTCGACTTATTCAGGCTACATGCCAGGAGTTTGTGACAATGTTTGTGTGCTATAATTATGCTGATAAGTTTTTGCACCTTTATATTGAAACTCAGGTAAGCCAAACGATTGTTAACTCTAGCAAAACACTCTTCTATTAAGGAGGAACTTTTAACGTCTTTCGGGGCCCTAATATGGTGTCAAATTTTTAGGGGAAACAAAGCTTGATTTTTGGCCAAACAGACTATAGCTTTTTTGTCTTTGAAGAGAGCGCGAGGCAAACGTCCGTGAGTAAAGTGTAAGCCAGTGATTCTTTATGTAGAGCTAACAAACATAGGCTTCACTTTAGTTGGAACACCCATAGGTGCAGTGTAACTCAGTGATTCTTTAGGCAGAGCTAACAAACATAGTCTGCACTTTAGGTGGCACACCCATGGGTGCAGTGTAACCAAGTGATTCTTTAGGTAGAGCTAACAAACATAGGCTGCACCTTAGGTGGCACACCCATGGGTGTAGTGTAACCCAGTGATTCTTTAGGCAGAGCTTACAAACATAGACTATACAGGTGTACATCAGATGGTAACAAGTTTTCCAGTTAAAGCTTTTGTCATAAAGTGCTACAACATGGCACTTCGACTATTTCATTATCGCGCTTGTTTTGACGCACAATTGATAGTCAGGAGAGGATGTATTGTCTAAAACCATAGCAAAAGACAAATTTACACACATCACAGCGTTAAGGTAAGGTAATACACGGTATTTCCTTCAGGTACATTTACATTTTCTGTTAGGTTATAAGCGATTAAATTGCATGCAGCGACGAACAAAACGCGAAGCCGTCAGATATTCTAGAAGCGTGTTATTTACAGTGCTGTGCAATAATTATTGCTTAACTAACTAACTACGCGCTGATGGAAATAAGTTTCGGCCGCTTTAAATTTTGAAACAATTCACTGGTACTGTATAGTCATAATATTGGAGCGGAAAGTTAGCACGCCAGCAGGGCGATTCTGCTGTGGTTTCTGTAATGTAGAAGATATTACGGCAATGAGGCTCCCGAGGTCCGTTCTCGAAAACACAACTGCATGTAGGATGAAATGTATTCTGCGTGCAGACGTCTCCTTTTCCAGGTTAGGTTAAATAAACCGTACCAACGGTTTGTTTGACAAAGCTCCCCCGAGACGGTTTCTTGGTGATTTTATTAATTTTTCCGATCCATTTTTTTTTTCAGCTCTATATTCGCGGCTTTTGCGATACAAACTAAATTTATTTTTAGTTGTGATGGCATTACACTGCTTAATTATGACGGCTTTGGAAGAAACTGAATATATTGCGCTTCGCGATTTCGCAAAATCGCTGCGGGAATTAAAAAACATTTTCTTCCAAAAAAGCGTTTTCACGCTTCTTTAATTCTCTAGTCAATTATCTCGTTTGTCTCGTTTTCTAAAGGTCCTTGAGAACAGAATAAGACAATATTTTATTACCTACCACCTAAAAACGGGATTTTTGACCAGATCGAAACAAAACTGAACTCTGAGATGGAAGAAGAAAAGCGTTTTATTTTTGCCGACTTCGGCCTGCCGACGCGATCGTGTCTGTTTTGCTTTCATATGATGACATTTTCCTGACAGAAGGGTGTCGGGAGAAACACCTCGCCCTGATCATACGTGACAAAATCCGCCGCGCCTAAGCTAATTAAGAAAAGTCTCCTCGAAAGCTCCATACAATTCCTTATAACAAAATTTTATAAGGAATTGTATGGAGCTCTCCGGGATACTTACAGTGCAAGCCCTGTGTGTCTTCTCATCAAAAGCCGCAAAGCAGAATGAAACATGAAAAGTATTCAAAGGCAGCCTAGTCCCTAGGCGTTCTCGGTGCGGTCAATCCTGGACTCT